TGTAGGTACCTCTCCTGCAGCCGCTGTGAGGAGAGGGCTCCTCCAGGTGTAGTACCCCCAGACTCAGCACCCTCAGGCACACTACCCTGCTCAGGCTCAGCACCCCCAGGCTCAGCACCTCCAGACTCAGCACTCCCAGGCTCAGCACCCCCAGACGCAGCACCCCCAGGCTCAGCACCCCCAGGCTCAGCACCCCCAGCAGGACGAGAGTCAACAGCTACCTCGACCGGCTCACCCGGGTCTACCTGGGACACACCTGAGGGAGCGGCACCCTGAGGGGGGAGGGGGTCTGGTACCTCAGCACCTGGAGCCAGGAAGAGAGGCGGGGGGGGGAGTGGGGCAGTGCGGTAGGGGAAGAGGCGGTAGTAGGGGACGGACTCGTCAAAAGTGACGTCCTGAGAGGCCAGGACACGACGCGAGGTGGCGTGGTAGAACTGCCAACCAGGCGCGTCCGGGACAAAGCCAAGGAAGACACAGGGGACAGCGCGACGGGAGAGCTTGTCCGCGGACGTGTCGCGAACAAAAGCTCGGGATCCCCAGACCCGAAAACGCGACGCATCGCCAGCCTCTCCCGTCCAACGCAGTGTCGGAGAAGTCTCCGGTAAGGAGACACGGGGCCAGAGGTTGAGCTGATGCGCAGCGTATCGGACTGCAAACGGCCACAGAAAGTGGGGGGCAGCCGCATGAACCAAGGAGGTACGAGCGACCTCCATGACCAAGCCAATGCGGCGCTCAGCAACCCCATTCTGCTGTGGAGAGGCCGGAAGCGTGAACGACTGCTCAATGCCCTCCTGCTGACAGAAGGCCTCCAAGAGGCCAGAGGAAAACTCCCCACCTCTGTCAGAGTGCAGACGCAGGACAGGGAAGTCGGAGCGGAAACGCTCACTGAGCTGGAGACGAGATCTGCGGATCCAAGGGATCAAGACATCAGGGACGTCACCCTTGGTGCGCAAGGGGAAGACCGTGGTGTAGCGCGAGAAGTCGTCAACAACAATCAGGAAGTACCTCTCCTGACCCTGACCACGGACTCGGGCTGGGCCCCACACGTCCATGTGGAGCGTCTGCAAAGGAGCAGTCGTCGGGGGGAAGGAGGAGGAGTGAGGAGCGGCGCGCTGCCGCCCCTCGACACAGGGAAGACAGGGAGGAGCAGGCGAGGGTGGGAGGGGAGGGAGAACCCTGGGAAGACCAGCAACAAGGTCCCGTTTGTGCATGGCCCGAAGGCGCTGCACAGACGGGTGACCAAGGCGGTGGTGCCAGAGGACAGTCTCATGCGCCAGAGAGCGACACGAGCAGGGGGCGGACAGCTGACCTGACGCAGACGCAGACGCGGACGCAGCTACCTGAGGGGACTCAGTGGTCAGTGTGTACAGGTCCGACCCCGGCTGCCGAGTGAAGGTAGCTAGGTGACGGCCCGTCCGAGCACACGTGCAGTGTGTCACGCGCTCGTAGGCAGGGGTGAACTAGTGAACACCCGCATCCTGGAGCGCACAACCCGCCACCAAGTTCGTAGAGAACGAGGGGAGGTGGAGACCTGACAGTGTGCCCGACGGGACCGCAGGACAGGGAAGAACAGTGGAGGAGGTCGCAATGACCGGACCCCCAGAGGGGTCAGCGAGGGAGACAGCAACTGGCCGAGCCAGCGGCTCAAGGGCAGTGCGGTCACGAAAGAAACAGCGAGAAGCACCTGAGTCCAGGGTGAAGGTGTGCAGGGCCTCAGTCGACTCAGTACCAGGGGGCGCAGACTCACTAGGACCTAGAGTAGCAGCCTCACCAGCACCTAGGGCAACAGACGTACTAGCACCTAGAGCGGCAGCCTCACTGACAGGACACGGCAGCTGCACCTGTCCACTACCAGAAGCTCCCGAACGATGCACTCCAGAGCGACTACCACTACGGCCACTCCGACAGCCCAAACTAGCGTACCACTCACGCGCACGAAGCAGCTGGGGCGAAGGAGGACACGGCAGCTGCACCTGTCCACTACCAGAAGCTCCCGACCGATGCACTCCAGAGCGACTACCACTACGGCCACTCCGACAGCCCAAACTAGCGTACCACTCACGCGCACGAAGCAGCTGGGGCGAAGGAGGACACGGCAGCTGCACCTGTCCACTACCAGAAGCTCCCGACCGATGCACTCCAGAGCGACTACCACTACGGCCACTCCGACAGCCCAAACTAGCGTACCACTCACGCGCACGAAGCAGCTGGGGCGAAGGAGGACACGGCAGCTGCACCTGTCCACTACCAGAAGCTCCCGACCGATGCACTCCAGAGCGACTACCACTACGGCCACTCCGACAGCCCAAACTAGCGTACCACTCACGCGCACGAAGCAGCTGGGGCGAAGGAGGACACGGCAGCTGCACCTGTCCACTACCAGAAGCTCCCGACCGATGCACTCCAGAGCGACTACCACTACGGCCACTCCGACAGCCCAAACTAGCGTACCACTCACGCGCACGAAGCAGCTGAGGCGAAGGAGGACACGGCAGCTGCACCTGTCCACTACCAGAAGCTCCCGACCGATGCACTCCAGAGCGACTACCACTACGGCCACTCCGACAGCCCAAACTAGCGTACCACTCACGCGCACGAAGCAGCTGAGGCGAAGGAGGACACGGCAGCTGCACCTGTCCACTACCAGAAGCTCCCGACCGATGCACTCCAGAGCGACTACCACTACGGCCACCCCGACAGCCCAAACTAGCGTACCACTCACGCGCACGAACCAGCTGAGGCGAAAGAGGACACGGCAGCTGCACCTGTCCACTACCAGAAGCTCCCGACCGATGCACTCCAGAGCGACTACCACTACGGCCACCCCGACAGCCCGGAATAGCGTACCACTCACGCGCACGAAGCTGCTGGGGCGTGGGGGACTCACGCGCACAGCCCTGGAGCTGCATCTGGCCACGTCAGGAGCAGCAGTAGTAGCAGTAGCGGCAGTAACAGTAGTAACAGCAGGAGCAGTGGCAGTGGGAGTAGAAAAGGCAGTTGCAGCAGTACTGGGCAATGCTCACCAGTGGTCGGCGCGGCAGGCGCAAGACGGTGGCGACAGTGGGGCCGCTACAACTGCAGGGCTGGGCCGGGCCGCAGCAGGGAGCTCCGCGGCAGCTGCGGCAGGGCGAGGCTGGGCCGCGACGGCAGCTGCTCCAGGTGCCACTGGGGCGGCTGCTGCAGGTGCGGGCTGCTCCAGGGGCGGCTGCTGCAGGTGCGGGCTGTTCCAGGGGCGGCTGCTGCAGGTGCGTGCTGCTCCAGAGGGGGCTGCTGCAGTGACGGGCGGCTCCAGGGGCGGCTGCTGCAGTGGCGAGCGGCTCCAGGGGCTGCTGCTGCAGTGGCGGGCGGCTCCAGGGGCGGCTGCTGCAGTGGCGGCTGCTCCAGGGGCTGCTGCTGCAGTGGCGGCTGCTCCAGGGGCGAGAGGCGGATTAGGTCAGGGCGACGCGGCGGGCAGGTGGCGACGCCGCGGGCAGGGCGACGCGGCGGGCAGGTGGCGACGCCGCGAGTAGGGCGACGCCGCTAGCAGGTGGCGACGCCGCGGGTAGGCGACGACGCCGCGGGCAGGCGCCGACGCCGCGGGCAGGGGACGACGCCGCGGGCAGGCGACGACGCCGCGGGCAGGCGACGACGCCGCGGGCAGGCGACGACGCCGCGGGCAGGCGACGACGCCGCGGGCAGGCGACGACGCCGCGGGCAGGCGACGACGCCGCGGGCAGGCGACGACGCCGCGGGCAGGCGACGACGCCGCGGGCAGGCGACGACGCCGCGGACAGGGGCTACGTCGCGGGCAGGCAACGACGCCGCGGGGAGGCGGCGACGCCACGGGCAGGGCGACGCGGCGGGCGGCGAGAGCCTGCAGGGGCGGCGCGCGGTCGTGCAGAGGCTGCGCGCGGGCCTGACGGGTGTGCAGGGGCGGCTCTCGGGCCTGACGGGCCTGCAGCGGCGGCTCGGGGGCCTGACGGACCTGCAGGGGCAGCTCGAGAGCGCACGAGGGCGCACGAGGGCGTACGAGGGCGCACGAGGGCGCACGAGGGCGCACGAGGGCGCACGAGGGCGCACGAAGGCGCACTAGCAGAGAAAGGCGCACGAGGGCGCACGAGGGCGCACGTAAGGTAGAGCGCACGAGGGCGCACGTAAGGTAGGGCGCACGAGGGCGCACGTAAGGTAGGGCGCACGAGGGCGCGCCTAGCGGAATAGTGGGCCCATTGTAGAAAGCGGTCCTAGGTAGCAACCTAGGCCTCTGATACCATGTTAGAATCTAGAATAGAACGAGAATGGATGAACTAGCAGGAAGGTGGGTACAAGTATGAAACCCTAAGTTTGTGTACCCTCTAAGGCTAAACCCACTATAGCCTACACAATATAAACATACAATGTTTGACATCATCCACGTCCACGACTTGCTGTTCTTGTCCCTGATCCGAAACAGTAGCTTGTTCTCACTCTCCAACGCCCCGCGGGATTTCCCCTCGTGCTGCGTGCCCTGGCGCTTCTTCCACTCCGCATCCCTCATCCTCGTGTAGATTCGTGCATGGAGGCGGAAAGCAGCTTCAACACGGCGGAGTACACGCCTCGTCCGGAACTTCTTCCCCCAAAAAACAGCATCACACCGCTCCACCCACAGTTGATGTAGTGTAATGGATGTAAGCGTGGCTTCTGGAAAAGCTGTGCTGGTTCCCGCCTTCCGGAACAACAGGTCCCCCAATGATGACACCGCACGAGAGCTGTTCAGCATGCGAAGCGACTTCAGCAGAGCAGACGTCACCACTTGAATTTTTGGGCAACTGTATAAACAGTGCTCAAGAGTCTCCTCTCCTCCACAGTGCGGGCAGACCGGCCTGCTGCTCAGGAACGACGCTCGCTCTCCCACCTGCACATTTAAGTTGTGGATCCGCAGCAAGACGTCCCTCGGCTTACTCGGTGTGACCAAGGAGTCCCGTATTGCAATAGTCTTTTTCCAGTTGATCTGCCCATTCCACCTGCCCTTCCACAGCTGCTGCTTAGCCGAAGGCTTCTGCCCCTCTTTCCACAGCAGCTTCAGCCGCTTCATGGGCGCAATTCCGCCTCTCAAAAATGGGGAAGTCGGTGAGCTTGCGCCCTGCGGAGTGGAAAGTCCTCCTGACCACCATTGAGTTGGAAGACTGGGGGGGAGCGCTGAGCAACAGCTCCTTCCATTTCTGAGGCGCAGCATCAAACGCCCTCCTTGCTAGCTTGGCTGCTCCCTTCCCGCCGAGCCCTCTTTCCATGGTGGCTGTATCCTTTAGCTCAGGAATCCCGCTACTTCCGATCTTGATCAGATCACCTAGGCGCTTCTCCCACAACAGCTTCGCATCCTGCTGACCTCCCACCGGCGTAGTTCCGTTAAGCAAAAGTCTCCTATTAAAAACAATCCGCTCCCCTTCCACAGCTTCTTTTGTGACCGCCTCGGGGAGAACGCCTAATGGCGTTTTCATGAAGTTCTCGCACGCGACCTTCCAGCGAGCACTTTTCCCCTCCCAGTGCTTCAGCAGCTTCTCGTGAGCAAAGAATGACTCGATGCCCATGGGCAGATCCGCAGCCCGCACCATAAGATGTTTTTTCAGTTGATTAGTCTCCAGTGTCAACAGCCCCACTCTCCTTGCCGTGAGACATGCCAGGATCATCTCCGGATCATGCACACCCACTCCACCCAGCTTCCTCGGAGTGTACAGCAGCTCTTTGCTCCAAAGACGGAAAACCCTGTCAGCCGTTGCTTTGTTACCAGAAACGAAATTTTCGAAGGTCTTGGAAATGGTACCCCATTGTTTTGCCGGCGGCGGGTAAACCTGCGCTTGGAAAGCCGCCTTCGGCATTCTGTAGTTGTTGACAACCGCCGTGCGTGCCGTTGTCGGCAGGTATTTCTGTTCCCATTTCTTAACTTTCCCCAATATGTCCTCCGAAGTTCTCTCCCATGTTGGCAGGCAGCTTCCAGAAGGGGTGATCCACACTCCTAACAGCTTCTCGGCTTCATCCTGCTTCGCCCACCTGAAGCTGTGCGTTCGGCCCGTCGTCCTGCCCAGATTATTCCCCAGCGGTAGGACAACCGACTTTTCCCAGTTCGTCGCCAACCCAGAGGTCAGTTCAAACTTCGCCAGCACTTGTTCCGCCTTTAGAAGCTGCTTCTTCCCTTCCAGGACCAGAGTCGTGTCATCAGCATACCCAATATACGCCAGTCGCTCATTTGCTTTGCTGATGCCCATCTTCTTCTTGAGTACCATTTGCGCCAACGGCTCAACCGCGCATAGAAATAAGTAAGGCGCGAGAGGGCAGCCTTGGCGTACTCCGGAGACCACTTCCACTCCTTCACCCAACCACCCATTGACTAACAGCCTCGTTTGCGTTCCTGCATGCAGGCCCTCCATCCATTTCACAAATCGGTCCGGGAAACCCATCGCCCTCATCGTCCGGAAGAGATAGCCGTGTGAGACGGAGTCGAAGGCTTTCTTAAAATCCACCAGCAAGAGGAACCAATCCTCATTATCGTTCCGCGCGGAGTCAATGATGTCGGCGACAAGCCCCACTGCATCTGTCAGCCGCCTTCCCGGAAGGAATCCATATTGCTCCGGCGATATCACCCTCCCCAGGTACTTTTTTCATTCTGTCAGCCATAACCCGCGCCAACACCTTGTATGTGAAGTTGAGCAGGGTGATCGGGCGGTAGTTATTGATTTGATCCTTGTCCCCCTTTTTGTGCAGCAGGATCGTCACCGCTTCCTTCACCTCCGACGAAAGCACCGCGGTTTTCGCAAAGTCTTTGGCGAGAGCCATGAAGCCTTTCCCCAGCAGATCCCAGTGGGCTTCAAACAGCTCCTTGGGCAACCCGTCTTTGCCTGGGGACTTGTTCGCCGCCATTGCGCGAAACGCACTTTTTACCTCCTCTTCCGTCCAATCTGCTAACAACTCCGCTGCTTCCCATGACCGCAGAGTTTTATCCTTGTCAGGGCTCCACTTCTCCTCCAGCTGACAACGGTCCTTTCCGAAGATGTCAGCGAAGAATTCAGAAGCCGCCCGAAGTATCCCTTGTGAGTCTGCCGCCACCCCGCTTGCCGTCTGCAATTCTGCTATTTGAGTACTCGCCTTCCTCGCCTTCACCATCGCCGTCAGATGCTGCGACGCTACTTCCCCCCTGAGCTCCATCCGCAGTCCCGACATCAGATGCAACTTGTCTCTCCGTGAGGCCTGATACTCCCGCAGTTGTGCCTCCTTAACCGCTAACCACTCACTGGTTTGTTTGCAGGTTGGATCTCTCATCATCGCCTGCCGAAGATTGGCGACAACATCCACCAGGTGGGACGCCGTTGCCTTGACTCGTTTACCCTCCTCCTTCGCGAAAGCACGAAGACCGGCGGCCAGCCTCGAGAGCAGCAGTTCAAAACTGCTTCCGTCTGTGACCACACACTTCTCCACCGTTGCTTCAACAACTTTCCGGATTCCCCGCTTGTGTACCAGTGAGGCATGTAGCCTCCAGAGACCGGGACCAAGACTAAGTTTGGCGTCTATTCGGATGGCGATGCGAATGGCAAAGTTGTGATCAGAGATATAATATGCCGGCATAACATGTGAGGCTTGAATCAGATGCGGTAAGAGTGAGTGCGAGATGAGGGCCCGATCTAACTTGCTGGGCTTGTGAGAAGAAGGTAAACTCCTGTTTTCGAGGATAAAGTGTTCTGAATGCGTCCGATAACTGGAAGATGCTACAGCGATTGAATAGTCTATCGTTTTCTGCAGATGAGCCTACGCGTGACGACTTGTCTAACACTGGGTCTTCTATGATATTAAGATCCCCCATAATGAGCAGGTGGTTGGACGGCGGGACCAGATCTACGACCGGACCTAGCGTATCACGTATAAAACCAGCTCGCGAGGTTGGGTTAGCGGGGAAGTAACAGGCTATGGCTGTAAGGTGAAGTCCAAGACCATGTATGTCGGCGGCAACTATTCTACCAGAGGGATGAATTACCACGTTACTAAAGCTGAGGAACTGCGATCTACAAAGCAGAGCAACTCCGCCAGCCTTCGACCTAGGTGATGTAGCTGCTGCTAAACTGTAAGTGGGATGGGACCAGAGAGGGTGATCCGCAGCTAACCTAGTGTCTGAGAGTACTAAGACGTCGGCAGCTTGTCTGGACCAGTCTAGGACGCGCTGCTGTTTGGTCTTATCACCGAGGCCGTTGACGTTCAGGCCCGCAAAACTTATAAGACTTTTCTTACTCATTTGATAACAATCTGAGACCCCCTACGCATCCACAGGGTAAAGAAGAGCACGACACTGAGACCCATGAGACCTACTGCTGCTGATGCTGCACGCCTACCGAGCCGATCCTGCTTCAGAGCCCATAGTCCTTCTTCGTGACATTGAGGCTTGCCTTCTCGAGAGAAGCACGCGTGGCAGAGCCAAGCTGCTCCAGATGGATGAGGTGGTTGGCCGACGTGATATGGTCTGCTGCAGACATGAAACTCTTCCCCTTGGCCTTCCCACAGCCCACTTGTGTGCAGATCCACTCCTCCCGGTTTCCACCCGTGGAGATGAGCACAATCGCCGGATCCAGCAGAATAGGAGTGATCAGCGGCGAGGCCGGGAGAGAAGCAGCTGCACGGTACCACTTGACAGTTAGCGTAGGTTAGAACACAACGGTGAAGACAATCAGGATGGAAACAGCAGTTACCATTAATACGATGGACCCTCCCCAAGGTAAGATTCCACTTTCCAATATTGTTTTGCCGCTCCGTCGTGAAGGCGTCGTGATTGACATCATAATGATGACCACCACAGAGCAGGCAGGACAGCGCAGGGAAGTGGACCAAGTACCGACGGCCGAGCTCGGATGGGTCCTGGAAAACGTGACGCCAACGGTAACGATCGCCAGGGTGCGGAATCACCAGGCCCTTGATGACATCAGTGTCCGCGCCAGTGACCGGGTGAAGAACGCGATGAAAGCAGATCCCATTCTTGAATGCCGACCGCTTCCGGTTCTTCAGCAGGTAAACCACCATCAGTTCCTGCAGCATATCAGGCGTTTTCGTCGCAGGTACGTCCCGGATCACAACTTCAATCGCCTGAGCATTAGTCGCACGCTCCCGCACAAACGCCGGGTTGTCCGTGTGCTGCCAGTAGAGTCTGAAAACCATGCCGTTCGGACGCGTGTAGTCCACTTCCTTGGATCTGATGCTCATGATGTCGTCTTCGCGCAGGAGGGAGACTTGCAGCCGGCTATAACGAGTCTTCGCCACGTACGCCGGGAGGAGCTCCTAGAACTTTGCTGAATCAGCAGCGCCATCAGAGAGCGTAGACGACCAAACCCGCCTCATCAGGGTGCGGACTGTGGTGATGACCGAAGCCACCTCCAGGGAGAGAGCCACCGGAAGCAGAAGAATCGCCGTGTAGCGGACGTGGTTGAACGCTTCCGTCTTGACGTCAACTTCGAGCACTTCGTACGAATCATCCTCAAGGAATCCGCTGTCAGGGGGAGTCGCACGTAGAGAACGTAGCTTTTCTTCCAGGGAGAGGCCGGAACCGCTTGCCGTAACATCAGCCTGAGTCACGGTGTTAGTGTCATCAATCTTGCCCTTTCCCTTGCCTGCAGGATCCGACGAAGCAGGAACAAGGCCAGGAGACGAGGATGCATCGCCAGTGGATGAGGTCTGAAGCTCCAGCGACGAGGCCTCAGGCAAAGCCTTGGTCTTCCCCTTTAGGAGGCATCGTGCGATGATGAGAGCTGAATGGCAAGGAGGCTGAGAAGCAGACCAGTGATGTCTGAAATGATGCCATAGCTCTGAGCACGTACTGGTTATATATGAGTAGACCTGAGGTGTTAGACCATTGCTCGTGCTGCTGGTGATGCAACACCGAGGTAGAAGCCTCGGGATCATGGTCGGAAAAAACCTTAATAGATACAATGTAGTCCTTCTTATGCAGCTGATGACATGAAAACGGAAACCGAGCCCTTGGAGTTAGTAACCTGGTAAGAGGAGCCTTGAAAATAGTTGCCTGACAAGAAACGGAACCTCGGTTAATGAAAGATACGATGTCTGACATGTAGACACAAAAATAGTATCGATCGATGTGTCGTCTAGCGAGGAGTCCAGATCTACGGTTGTTGAGGTCAACTGACAAGGAACCTTCACGGGATCTGAGTTCGAAGGTGCGCGGTAGAATCCATGGCGGACTCATGTCTCACAAGCAGGCTCGCCAGCCCGACCGACCGAAATAAACGATATACTGTGGTGTCGAATAGTTTTATATCGTTTTCGTTTTTTCGTTTGGAAACGATATAAAACTATTCGACACCACAGAATAAACTTTAACGCTGTTTCGAAGCTCCTTCAAAGGGTACAAACCCCAAGGCACATCTACGTACGCGGTAAGAAAGCCAGATAGTGAAGCTAGTTGAAATGCAAGCATAAAGGCAGTTCACTAACTCAATCTACAGCTAGCATCACTTGCCTAGTCGAGCCCACTTTCCCGCGCTTTTTCAGCCTCGGCGACTCTGACGCCTAGTGAAGCTGGCACCGACGGAAACTGACTTCGGTGTTCTTGAGAGCCTGCAAGATCCTTTATTCTGTCGATCCCTGAATCTCCTTCGAATCTCTTTACTTACCACTAACCTTACGCCTTTTGCTAGTCCTGCGTTCATTCGCGGTCGCGGCTGGTTCCTGATTACCTTTTACTTGAAAGTTCTCCGTGAATGGATTTTTATGGTGTCGAAACTATAATTCTCTCTAGTTGGTGACATGATTCGGCAAGTCGAGTTGAGCTGATGCGAATAGTCTGATAGCGGAACACGTCTATCTCTTGTAGCTGAAGCTTTCTTGCATTTAGTAGACAAGCGTACGTGATTTGAACTCGTCCGTTGATGCAATAGCACGATACTTCGACTTGCCTAATCTCCTAATCTCGTTTCACGAGGAGTGCAACTGGTAACCGCATGTTACAGGACCTTAGTACTCTAGCTCGAGATCAACATAACAGCGTCTCTCTCCTGATATATCCTATCTGATTGGATCCCACACTGTAGCATCCCGGCTTACGATCAAATGATGGACTCGTCGCTTCGCGGAGGAAGGGGAGGAGGTGGCAGAGGAGGAGAAAGAGGAGGAGAAAGAGAAGTATTGCAACCAAACGGGTCATCATGGAACGAAGATGATGACGCCTGGATGGCGAGAACGGCGAGGAAGCACAGAAAACAGTTTCATGGAGAGGAGGAGGAGGATGAAGAGTGGACGAGGGAAGAGGAGGAGCGGGAAAAGGGGATGGAAGAAGAGATTTCCCTTACAACAGGACAGGTAGAGTCTGCAAACCGAAATTGTTCATTCTACTGCGCGCTCCGCTGTCTTTTCACTGTCTTTCAGTCATCCATCTCCTTATTGTCTTCACTCCCTTTGCATCCGCATGGATACCGACGTGCTGAATCTAAACCATCCGTAACTTCTGCTTTCGCCGCGAATGGCCCTTGACATCCCCCTTGGCATCTTGCAAACGGGCCTTGACAACCCCCTTGGCATCTTGCAAATGGGCCTTGACATCCCAGGCGGTCAAGCACCGCTCCATCTCATGACTCATTCGTCACATACAGGTTGCCCTTGATATCCCAGGGTGTGATGGCTCCGTCTGCCTGCGCTGTTGAATTTAAGGACGGAGTTGCCTCCGCATGGATACCAGCCCGTAGCGCTTAAACTATCTGTAACTCCCGCTTTCCACCGCGAATTCCCTGTGACATTCCAGGTTGTGAAGCCCCGCTCTGGCAGCCTGCGCTGCCTCCCCTCGCTCCTCCTCCTCTCCCTCGGCCTGCTCGCCGGCGCGGCCATCGCAGCCGGCATCTCGCTACTATTCCCGTGGCGCGCCGTGGCTTTAATCACCTCGTATGCGAGCACGGACACGCTAGTCAAGTCGCAGGGAGCGCTGACGTTCCTAGTGGTGGGGGACTGGGGTCGCAATGGGGACTACAACCAATCGCTCGTAGCTGAAGCGGTGAGTCGTTGCGATTCTGGGTGGTAGTTGCAGTGGCCGACAGCAACAGAGATAGGCAGACAGACTGCTTTTAAGTCGACTCAAAAGCATCTCTCGTATCTGAGGCGGTGAGTTTTGTGATTCTGGGTGGTAGATGCAGTGGCCGGCAGCAACAGAGGTAAACACAGACATACTTGTGACCATTCCCCATATGCCTCCCTTCCGCACCCCCTCCCCCCCCCCCCCCCCCCTTTCGCCCCCCTTCCCCCCCCCTTATCACGCTCCCCACTTCTTCCCCGTCCTCCTCCTCCTCCTCCTCCTCCTCCTCCTCCTCCTCCTCCTCCTCCTCCTCCTCCTCCTCCTCCTCCTCCTCCTCCTCCTCCTCCTCCTCCCTCGTTACCTTCTATCGTTGTCTCTCACATGGGTAGAGCGGCAGGGGAGATCAGCTCCGGTATTGTCATTTCCACAGGGGACAATTCCTATGAGGACGGGCTGACAGACAGACCTGCAATTATCACCCTAAATACCCCCCCGACCCCACCTCCCTCCTCCCCCCTGATACTCCCCTTTCCTCTCCCTTTGCATATCAGATGGGTAGAGCGGCAGGGGAGATAGGCTCCAGCTTCGTCACATCCACAGGGGACAACTTCTATGAGGACGGACTGACAGACAGACTCGTGACCATCACCCCAACCACCCACCTATCCCACCTCGTACTGCCCCCTCCTCTCGTTGCCTATCAGATGGGGCGAGTGGCAGGGGAGATCAGCTCCAGCTTTGTGATTTCAACGGAGGACACAATTTATCAGGACGGACTCACAGACAGCGGTGGCCATATCAGCTTCCTCACGCCTCTCCCCCCTTTTATTCCTGCTCTTCCTTCCGTTCTTTCCATGTTCGTGTCAGATGGGGCGAGTGGCAGGGGAGATCAGCTCCAGCTTCGTGATTTCCACGGGGGACAACTTTTATGAGGACGGGCTGACAGACAGCAGTGACCCGCAATTCACCTCCTCGTTCTCTGAAATATACCAGGCCCCCAGCCTTCGCACACAGTGGTATGCCGGTATGTTAACTTGTGACTATAACGAACGTGAGAGAAACACAAGGATTAGATTATTATTGCAAGTGTTCTGCAGTTCACGTCCTCCTTTTTGGAGTCCTACCAGGCCCCCAGCCTTCGCACTCAATGGGAATGTGAGCGTAGCTGGTTTGCAACTTTAACAAATTTATTGTGGCAAGTAACTGAACTGCCATCACCTTCTCTCTCACTGAGAGTTTCCAGGCTTCCAGCCAGGGCACCTAGTGGTCTGTCGGTTTGTGATATGGGCACCTAGTGGTATGTCTGTCTGTGATACGGGCACCTAGTGGTATGTCGGTTTGTGATATGGGAACCCAGTGGTATGTCTGTTTGTGATATTGTGGCTATAACGGGAGTGTGATTATGCGCTGCCTCCCCACACCCCCCTCCCCTCCCTCTCCCCCTTTCATCCCATCCATGCCAGTCCTGGGCAACCATGACTACCACGGCAATCCCGAGGCACAGCTTGATCCGGCCCTCCGCCCGCGCGACCCTCAGTTGACCCACTGTTGCCACTCCGGTCTCATTTGTCCCATTCATGCCAGTTCTAGGCAACCATGACTACCACGGCAATCCCGAGGCACAGCTTGATCCGGCCCTCCGCCCGCGCGACCCTCAGTTGACCCACTGTTGCCACTCCGGTCTCATTTGTCCCATTCATGCCAGTTCTAGGCAACCATGACTACCACGACAATCCCGAGGCACAGCTTGATCCGGCCCTCCGCCCGCGCGACCCTCAGTTGACCCACTGTTGCCACTCCGGTCTCATTTCTCCCATTCATGCCAGTTCTAGGCAACCATGACTACCACGGCAATCCCGAGGCACAGCTTGATCCGGCCCTCCGCCCGCGCGACCCTCAGTTGACCCACTGTTGCCACTCCGGTCTCATTTCTCCCATTCATGCCAGTTCTAGGCAACCATGACTACCACGGCAATCCCGAGGCACAGCTTGATCCGGCCCTCCGCCCGCGCGACCCTCAGTTGACCCACTGTTGCCACTCCGGTCTCATTTCTCCCATTCATGCCAGTTCTAGGCAACCATGACTACCACGGCAATCCCGAGGCAGAGCTTGATCCGGCCCTCCGCCCGCGCGACCCTCAGTTGACCCACTGTTGCCACTCCGGTCTCATTTGTCCCATTCATGCCAGTTCTAGGCAACCATGACTACCACGGCAATCCCGAGGCACAGCTTGATCCGGCCCTCCGCCTGCGGGACCCTCGCTGGCGCTGCGAGCGCTCATACAACGTGCGGAGGGACGCGTGCCCCAAGTATCTATACGGTGAGTGCCTAGCTTCTTGCTTCTATCTTCTAGCCTTGTGATACAGTCCAGCCCTCCGCCAACGCGACCCTTGCTGGCGCTGTGAACGCTCCTACAACGTGCGGAGGGACGCGTGCCCCAAGTATCTATACGGTGAGTGCCTAGCTTCTTGCTTCTATCTTCTAGCCTTGTGATACAGTCCAGCCCTCCGCCAACGCGACCCTTGCTGGCGCTGTGAACGCTCCTACAACGTGCGGAGGGACGCGTGCCCCAAGTATCCATACGGTGAGCTTCTACCTTTTATCCTTGTGAACTATCCCGACCCGCCCTTCACCTGCGCGACCCTCGCTGGCGCTGTGAGCGCTCCTACAACGTGAGGAGGGACGCGTGGCCCAAGTATCTGTATGGTGAGGATCTAAATCCAGACTACAGAACTCACTGACTTGGCCTTCTTCACCAGCAGCCCTCGGTGGCGCTGTGAGCGCTCGTACAACATGAGGAGAGACGCGTGGCCCAAGTATCTGTATGGTGAGCATTTGTGTGGTGTGGTTCCATGACATAATGGCCTTGAACATCTTTTGCTGGCACTGTGAGCGCTCGTACAATGTGCGCAGGGGCGCATGCCCCAAGTATTTATACGGTGAGCTGTCCTGTCCCAAGTCTCTCAACTCCTCTTTCATCATACTCCTTTTTCTCCTTTCCATATGTTGACCCCTCCCTTCAGTCGTTGCCTTTCTGCTGCCTTTTTTTTGCACCCCCTCCCCCCACAACCCCCCTCATAATTCTCGCCTCTGTTCTCACTTTGTGTCAATCGAGGTTTGCGCCTTCCTGTCAATCCCCCTCACCTATATTCTTTCATTTTGATTGCAAACTTATCCGCTTCTCCCCATCACACCCCCTTCTCCCCTTCAATCGCCAGAGCCGTGTGACGCACCAGTGGAGCTGTTTTTCATTGACACGTCGCCCATGCTGATTGGCTACTGGAAGCCCTCGGCCAATCAAACTGAGAGGCTGAATTTCACGGGCAGACCTGAGTACTCCCTCTCAATCCACTTTCAAATCGAGGTTGGTGTTTTACTCACGTGTATTTAGTTTTAGGCACCTCGGAATTCAAATCGAGGTTGGTGTTTTACTCATTTGGCTGGTTGGCGGTTAATTCACTGGGCTGGTTGGTTTGAACTCACTTTTCTGGTTCCACATTCAATCTTCCCCTCCTGCTGTTTAGGACCCTTTGCCTCCGTCCCATCCCCTCTCTCCATCTCTTCTCACTCCTCCCTCTCCTGCACGTGTTCCTCACCTCAATTTCCTCCCTTCCCTCTGCACTCCTCTTCCCTCCTCTTCGTTCTTTATCTCTCTCTCGCCCCCCTTTCACTCTTGTCTCCTATCTCTCCCCTCCACGTTCTCTCTGCGCTCACCTCCCAGTCACTGCGATCGGCCCTTGCGTCGTCCACGGCCAAGTGGGAGATTGTGATTGGCCGTCGCCGGCTGACTCTCCCTTCCCACCCCTCTCAAATGGTCCTCTATCTCCAATCGTTCCGCTCCCCCCCCCCCCCCCCCTCCCTCTCGCTCTCTCTGTTCAATCGTTCCGCTTTCCCCCCCTCTCTGCTGTCATCTCCCAGTCACTAAGAGCAGCCCTTGCGTCGTCAACTGCCAAGTGGAAGATTGTGATTGGCCACCACCCAGTGCGCAGCACAGGGGAGAACGGCGATTCAGCTGAGCTCGTGCAATACCTGAACCCTATCCTGAAGGTGCGTTGGTCTGAGCTTGAAGAAGTGAATTACATGAAGCTCTCAAATACATGCCCAGAACAGGGAAAATAAGAACTTTGCTGAGTTTGTGCAATACCTCAGCCTTCTTTTTCGATGTGAGAAACAGGTGAGAATGAGGACTTATGGGGTGCTTCAGAACCCTTTCGTCACGTTCTGTTGAGCATCATTCCCGTTCTATTTGTGAGGGATGTGATCGAACTCAGAGGACAATGGGGATGTGAATTATAGGGCCCCTAAACTCGTCCTCAAGGCTTCTTGCAGCTCCAGATGCCAAGTATATACCGTAAGACATGCCGAATCGCATAGGGGGTGATAATTTTTCCCTTGTGTACCCCGCTGCCCTCCCTTCTCACCCACCACACCAGGAGCATCAAGTGGACTTCTACATGAACGGCCATGACCATAACCTGGAACTTTTCCAGGAACCTGCAAGGTGAGTTTTTTTCTGAGAAGTCTGCCTGTGAAGCAAGTTACTGTGATGCAATTCTCAGCAGCTCACGGTTACATGTTTCTATCGCAACAGTGGCACGACTTACCGTACATGGCTGACAGCGCTGGGTAAGTTACGTATGATCCATGTACCGAACTCTTACCTGTAACTTGTCGTCTGTTCGCAGTTCACTGTTCTTCGTAACGAGTGGAGCGGGGTCACAGGTGAGCCACAAGCGCTCTACTACAACCAACCCGTTCTCTCAGTTTTACTATGCAGAGCAGGGGTTTGTGTCCGTCGTTATTGATGGCAACGGCTTAAAGCTCAACTTTCATGACATTGTCGGCACTGTGATTCACACCCTGTGGGTGGACAAGTAGAGAGGGTGATGCAGCATGGTGCAGTGACAGTCTATTCATGTGGGTGTACAGATTGCAGTTTCAGTATTACCCCAGTAGAGGAAGATAGCTTCACTCCAGTGGCTGCAGGGGTCAGACTAAAATGCTTGACGATGTCAGAGAAATAATCAAGGCATCAACCTGCAGTCAGAACACATGACTGTCTTGGTCAGAACTTCCCGTTGAATTCCACCACACAGCAACAATTTTTCCCAGTAGTCACGCAAGTTGCAAATCATCTGCTTGAGGAGCTGAGCATGGGGACAGCATTTATATTTCCAATCTAACAAATCCACCACCCTTCTAAGCATGAACACCAGATCACCAAGTAATATCGTCAAATATGAAAGCTCCGTACAGCTCAACACATCTAGCCAAACAAAACGAGCCATGGATACTAGACTTCATGAGAACTGCACAACTTCAAAAGCTGAGGTACACAAATCCATGCTCACTCCATGGCCGCGGTCTGCGACACATGCGGACCAAGATGCTGCTCTGTACCAAGAGCAGGAAGAGCGGTGACGTGCAGAAAGAGCATAGGTGCGCAACGCTTGCAGGACAAGCGAAGGCAATACAGGGGGCGCACTGAAGTCTTCAGGCGCGAGGGGTAATGCAAATCCGAACAGAAACCAACAGCTTCGAAGATCCTCCGCCCAACTGATGAGGATATGCTGCTCCAACCATTGCCAATCAACAGCTTCGAGGATACATCTCCAGCCTTATCAGGAACAGGCTGCTCCGACCATTGCATGGCTTAATAACCCCAGGTGCGAAAGGACATGTGAAAGAGACTAGAAAGAGGTGACGGTGGGAATGTGTATGTGCAGGCGAGACGGAGAACGACACGCACTGAGAGAGGGACATGAGCACGAACAAGGGTGCTCAACAACAGACTGATAGAGAAGTGACCTATTACGTGAGTGCAAGTGGAAGGGGTAAAGGATATGAAGAGACCAGAGCTTAAGAGAAGAAACAGGCTAGCAGGAAAAGACTTCCGCAGATGCTCTTGCCGTTCCTGACTCCAATTTAAATACGGAGGTCAGGAATCCTTCATCCACACATCCTTTCACCACGTGGCCATGCAATCTTGAACACAGCTTCTAAGCGACCTGAAGAAGCCTCTTCAGGTTGCCTTCAATCACGGACGTATTCATCGGGTAGGCCATCATGTGCTCCGTGGCACACGGCACGGGAACGCGGCCGTAGTCTTGAGCGAAATCAGTGGAAACAGGTGCTGACTGCTTGAGAGGAGAGGAGGGTTCCGACGACGAGACGCGAACATTGGTAGGGCTCGGCTTAAGCTGAGCCTTAAGGAAGCTGGGAAGAGGAAGCGAGCTAGGAGGAGGTGAGTTCACGTACGCAGGACCAGCCCACGCTTCCGAGGTAGGTGGCGGAGTAATTACATCGCGGGAGGGAAGGGGTGCTGCAGCTGCGGGAGCGGTGTAGCTGGTTGTTGAGGAATTAACCGCCACGCCGGATGCTGAAGCACCATTATTCGTGAAACGAGCTTGCGTATCGTTGTTAGGAGATCCATGTCGCGACCTATTCTTCTTGGGGGATCTCCGTGTGTTGCCACGACCTTTCCGCATGCCGCCAGCTACCGCCGCTGGCTGAGGAATCTCAAGAACACTTGCTCCATTCCTGTTACCCAAAAAAAGAAAAACAACTTAGTGACCGCTCTACTGACTATCAAACAGACTGGATCGATACCTGTGAAACACGGGACAATCCTCACCTCCTAATAGCATCCACGTCCGTATTGATGTTAACAGCATCCTCAGTAAAGTTAGTGAAGCCTGGAACGAAGTATGGCACAAGTTCACGTCCGTACGACGGAAGAGCGACTGTCCCCTTCTTTTGGCTCGCAGCAATCACCATATCAACCATGATGTCCTCGTCAGAGCAGAAAATCGCAGACTTGTTCGATGGAGCCATGTCAACTATCTTAAGGTGGAAAAGAGGGAAAACTTTACAAGAGCCGCCTTCACAAAAACACCTGCTTACTACTTGGGACCAACAAAACTTCGGTGTTGAAACCACTGAACTCCCTAACTAAAACTGCTTTGGTGAAACAATTTCCTGGATGATGTTTCAAATGACAGCAGGCTTCTGCTTTATCCTTGGTTGCTCAGCTCACAAGCAAGAGAGGAAAGGTTGGGGGAAGAGCAAGCTGAGCAGGCAATGCTACTGGGCTGAATCCTAGGATGCTGCTGCTGGCCTGCTGGGAACTCCGTTGGGGTTTCAACGCGGAAAGGTCGGCGGAGACGAAGCTGCGCGGAGCAGATGTCGGGGGAAGCGTGGCTTCTTTGGGGACTGGAAAAGCCGAGAAGATGCGGATACGGTGGCGTGTATCTGGGGGAATATCGACGGAAGCGGAGGGGATGGTCCGTGCGGGGATGGCGGAGAGGCATGTGGTGCTGCTGACTGCGGAAAAGGAGCAGAACGGTGTGGCGCTGCGGAGGGCAGACTCTGTCAATCAAACCCTCGTCATCGGCCCTGCCCAAGCTGTCCCAATTCCGTCCAATTCCCGAACGGAAAGAGGTGGGGGAAGCCTGACGTTCTTGTTCTCGTGACTTTGCATGGCCATGCATGCAGGTGGTGGGGGTTTTCCCATGGCTCGGCGCACCGTCGGAGGTGTGGTGCAGAGCACTGTGGCACGGTTCGGATTTCGGGGTTTCAGTTTCAGGTATGGCAGGCGTTCGCTTCGGGTCTCGGGCCGCATCACACGTGACAATTTTACCGAGTTCTCTGCACGGGACGTGAAACAAACGGACGCGGCGAATGCGGAAGTGCGAAATTTCGCAATTGTTGGCGAGGCAGCTCCCTCCCGCTTGACACTGTTCGGCGAGCGTTGCAACTGTTCGACCCGAGTTGAAGCGGGAATCGCAGGCGTGCTTCAGCGAGGGACGAGTCAATGGTGACGATTTCCGTGCCCACTCTCCATGTGACGTGTCACCTGCTGTTTGACATGCAAAAGCGTGCTGGATGATACGTAAATTCTGTGCGTACGTACAGTACCATCGAACACTTGTGAATCGTTTGACGTAGAACCCTCATCTGTTGCATGTCATCTGGAAAGACTTGTGGATGCCGGTTTGTCAAGCCTGTGGCATTCGGCAATCCACCAACCAGGGGTCAGGCTTGCCATCGAACAACCTGGGAAAATAATCGCCAATGAACGGAATGTGGGCATGCACTGCCCTGACCATGCTTGAAGGAAACAGCTTGCAAGAAAGCTTTCAGGAGAAAAAGCTGGCTCAAATAGCTTGTCCTTTCTGCCGAATCTCTTGGACCAATCCTTCCTGTGCCATCAATGAACATATTCTATTGGATAGGGGAGAAAATCTTCCTTTTCCGGGAAAAGATCATACTGGGGCCGAACATTAGCAGGGAAGTGACCAAATTAGGGCCGGATAGCCGAACCTGGAATTTTGGGGCTAAAAACTGACCTCCCCGTGATTACGTATGTGATTTCACTTGTCAGTGGTTCTGACCACCCCGCGAGTCGTAACTGATGGAGAGGAAACTATACCTTTTATGTCGAAATAACTCAGTATTTTCCACTCGTTTGTGCAACCAAGCACTAAACGACGCTACCGGGAACTGTTAAGGCAGGGCAGAAAACTAAAACGCGTAGGGAATCTGGACGCATTTTCGGGAGGTACCAACCCTAAATACGGGAACCCACCTGGAGTTTAGGGTTGATTCCTCCCCGAGTCGCATTCATTTCCAATTTGGCTTTATTTTTTGTCAGGAAATGTGATGCAAAGTTTTTTTAAAAAACAATCACGTATTTTGTTCTAGAAAATATAAACAAGACGAAACCACCCCCAGAGGAATACGACGCGGGCTTCGTAACAGGCGGCGATTTTGATCTAAAACAAAATGATTGAATTAATAAAGTCGATTATAGTAATTTCCTTTAAGTCCTGGTTCGGAACCATGGCCCAGCCACCTGGGCAGCCTCGGGGATACATCCAACGGTTGGGATTAACCCGGCCCTAATTTGGTCACTTTCCTGCTAATGTTCGGCCCCAGTTTGATCTTCTCCCTCCTTTTCCTCCCTTATAACGAACGAAAGGCAGTCCCACGAGATTCTGTTTGAGCGTGGGTGTAAACTGACGTGGCATGGCAAGATGCGTCAGTCTGGTGATGGAATCGATGTTTCAACTCCAATCAAATTACAGCTGTTACGAGCCACACGAGGCGAAATCCCCGCGCACAAATCAGAGTCAAGCACCGGCATGGCTTATGTGGTGGGCAATCCAAAATTCGTTTTCCGCCTCCCAGGTATTTCGTTATAGTAGACGCCAGTTCTCGCTAAAAGGCCAATAGGAAACGTTGTAGAACAAAGTAGTAAAAAAACAAAATGATGTTCTCTGTTTAGAGTTGCTGGTTGAGCAACCGTATCTTAGAATCTGTACACACGAGTAAGTGACTGGATGAGGTTGAAATACGCATACTTCACATCAAATTGCATGTCATACCCTGTGAATATGAAAAACAACAAGAAAACACATCACTAAGATGTGGTGAAATAAAATTGCAAGTGAAGATGGGGGTGCATACACGAAGTGACATGCAGATGACTCACAGTAATTGAGAGCTATCGTTCGACCGGTTTCCCCAGGGCTCTGCGAGACATGGTGATACCACATGCTTGGCCTGCAACCACAACAATACACAAATCGTGATAAGTGCATACTGTAAATGAATACCATGAGATGGCATGATAAGAAGCAGAAAACACGGTGAGTTACACAATGTATCCCATCCCTTTTGCATCTGTGTGTCCGAATGTCCATCCTTCGCACATCTTCCCATATCCCAAACATGTTTCTCACAGCACGACTCTGTCTCCCCTCATCCCTCACTCCCCATACAAGCCTCTTCTCACTCACTCTCATCGCACACACGCCCCACACATACAGCTCGTCACACACCCCCCTCACAATCATCACGCACAGGTACAGCATCTCACCAGGACCAAATGCGCAGACCAGGGAAGGGGCCCCTTGGGGCCTTCCCCCAAGCCTTCTTCACAACTGTCCAGGTCCTCACAAGGCATCACCATTCTCACAACATAACCTCTCAACACACCTGCCTCACTCCCATCACGTACAGGTACAGCATCTCTCCAGGACCAACAGTGCAGACCAGCGGAGGGGGCCCCTTGGGGTCTTCCCCCAAGCTTCCTCCTCCAGCAGCAGCAGCACTCAGGGTGTGTGAGCACGGTATGAGGGGGTTCAATGCGGCATCCACAGAGGCCCATGGCACCATGCACGGGGGATCGCTGGGGAGGATGTGGAACGGACCCTGCTCGTCCTGGTAGGGGAGACGAGGGGAACAGAGGAAGGGAACGGGGCAACAAACGGGTACAGGTGGGACAGGGTGAACAGGGAGAGCAGGACACGGCAGGCGGGGATCACGGGGAGCAAGGTGGCGTGAAGGGGGTTGAGTGCGGCATCCACAGAGGCCCACGGCACCATGCATGGGAGATGGGGGTCAGATGGGAGGATGTGGAACGGACCCTGCTCGTCCTGGCAGGGGAGATGCGGGAAACCACGGTGGGCGGGGGGGAAGGGCGGGGGGGATGGGGGGAGCAGTGGAGACACTGGGAAAGGGAGGAACAGGAGGGATAGGGGGAACAAGGGGAGCAGTGGAAACATGGGGAAAAGGGGGAAGAGGAGGAATAGGAAGAACAAGGGGATCACATGAATGCACGGGGAGAATGGGGAACAAGGGGACATAATAACCACGGGTACGGTTGGATAAGACAACATGTGGTGATTGTGAGGCATCAAAGAGAAGAGCAGAGAAATGAGCGGGGCAACATGAGGATTGGGGGCAAGCACGCAAGAAAGACGAGTTACAGAAGTATAGCAAAGGGGCCAGAAGAAGGCAGGCGTGCTGTACCTCTGCCCGCCAATATTTCGCAGCAGGATATTCCCGCACTCTCATCCTGAATACGTCGAGCGGGGGCAGCAGCCGGAAAGTTTTTCTGCCCGTGACAACCACGTAGAAGTTTTCGTAGTGGTCCTTGTGCCAGCTTGTCACTGCCCGTTCGTCCCCAATCCATAAATTTACAGCTTCGGGCAGGTTGCCGCCCAGCGCAGCTGTGGCGAATCCGATGTGCTCGTCTGCATCTGCGGCCAGGGCAGCAAATTCTGTCCTGAAGCTGCCGTTCTGGTGCTGAACATAGGGAATGCCGATGAAGGGCGAGTGTGAGGGGTGTGATGCGGCGAGTGAGGGAGAGAGTGAGGGAGAGTGTGAGGGGGAGTGTGAGGGGGAAGAACGCGAGGAGTAGAGGAGGCGGAGGAAGGTAGGGAGTGTGAGGGAAGCTTCGTGCGGGGTGACAAACCACGCACAGGGCGAGTCACAGCGGCATGCCCGCGGAATGCTGTCACAACTGCTGCCGCCACACGCGCTACTGGACGTGCAGTCACAGTTGCCATTAATCCTCTCAGAACAACCCCCTGCTTCCTCCGCCTCCTCCGCCAACCTTGCAGTTTCTCCACTCGCTTCCTCTTCCGCCCCCTCTGCCTCTTCGTCGCTTCCAATACCATTACGCTTCCTGCAGCCCTCCCTATTATCCCACCCGTCCTTGCTCTCCCACACTTCCTCCCCAGGAAAGAAAACCCACCTTCGAACGCCCATATCGTCGCTGATCTCACCACCCCGTGCCTCGCTATCGTCACCGCTCCTACAGTCACATCCGCTACTCGTCCCCCCATCTTCCCTCCTGTTACGCCCTGAACCCAGATTCTCGTCTCCCCGTTCTGACGATCCTGCTTCTGACCGGCCGATGCCGCCGCGCCAAACAATCGCGTCGCCGTGACCGTCAGGGGTGAAATCCACCGTGATTTTTTTCTCCCCTAGCGCGTCGATTAAGTACTGGTCAGTCTGCCAGAGTGATAATGCCGGCCAATGACTGACGGCGCCGGTAATCACGCACGGCCGGTTAGCCGCTACATAGTCACGGTAGAATTCGAGGGGATTGAGAACTATGGGAGGATCGCTAGAACCATCGCTAGGATTTACCACTGCTCTGTACGCGTTAGCACTTGCTTCGGTTTTGGCATAAGATCGCGCAGCGCCTGGAGAAATAGCGATTCTAGGAACGGCGGTCGCGCGACTCTCGCGGCTGGAGGCGACAATGTCGCAAGCGTCGTCATCGCTGTCGCTGTCACCCGTCGCACCGAACGAGTATTCGCGAGCGTCGCATGAGAGACGACTCAGCAGCGACGCAATCGCGTCCCTGTCACAACCTCTTCTCTTATCGCGAAGAGCCATGCTCCCACCGGAGTATGTTTTTTCCTAATTGGATAAGTCTACTTCTACAATCGTATCCTACCCTAGCCTGTGACTTCGGGAATCTCCCATCCTAAATTAGTCTTCTAGTGCTTGAAGGCTCGAAGACCAGTGCCAAAAATGAGATCACGAAGTTCAGAAGGAGAATGCCATCCTCGGTATAAACCAATACTGCGGAAATGACAGCGACTTCTAGGTAGGTCAAGGAGTCTAGGAGTGTAAATCACGAAAATAATGCAGAGTGTAAGCAAGCTAGTGTAAGCCTGCTGCATAGTGGACTTTGACGCCCTATTCCATAGCGATCAAGGAACTCAAGCTTGATAAAATGCTTTAAATATTGACGCAACAGATGGATTTGATTTGAACCCCTTGCAACCTAAAACTTGTGCCATTATGTGCTAAAAAAGGTCAAGTCCAACGTTCATTCATCAGACCAGTTGGTCTCCAGCCTTACTTCGAACCACTGCAAAGCACCTTTCCCACCACCCAACTCCAATTCACAAGCCGAGTCGAGCAGAAACTCTGCTGCTTCCTCCAGAGTCTCAAAAACTGCCAAGTCGTCCGACAGGCGTTTCCCGTCCTTTTCCCAGCTTTGCAGCTCGTTCAAAAGGCACTGTAGCACTTCCCCGCGGGATAGGAACACTTCCTCTTCGCCTGGAGCTATGAAAACGTAAGTGTTGGCTGTTTCGTAGTGTACTGAGCGGCCTGCGTTAAGCTGGAACATAGGGATTACAAGAAGGAAATCAAAGAGACCTTAATGGAGGAGAAAGGGAGAGCAGAGAGGGTGAACGGAGGAGGGGGGAAGGGAGGGAAGGGAACGATAAATGGACGTTGGTTTGCACAGTCAACTGGGTGCAATGTGAAGGAACACATAAATTGAGCATGAAACACTGAACGGAACACCAGAAACAGGCACGGAAGCAGAATCCTCCTGCAAACTCTAGAAGATGGACAAATGAGGGACTTGAAAATGGTTTGAGAAATTCGAGAGAACTGGAGGCAGAAAAGAGAAGAGTTGACCAGGGGAAAGCGGGAACGAGGATTATAGCTAAACACGCCAACGGGTAAGTGGGGGAGAGGAAGAAAACTGAGGATGAGTAATCAGCAGAGAAAGAGCATGCCAGAAGAAGGGAGAAACAGGGGGAGGGAAGACGGAGAAACAGGGAAATTGGAAGAGCAGAGGGGTGACCGTACCCGAGAAGGCCGAGCTCTTAAATCTTCCGCAAGAGCGGTTACCACCGAAGCAACAGATGCTTTTCCAGGCAGATTTGAATGCAAGGATGGCAGGGGTGGCAATGCTGGTCTCCTCTGCACTGTTTCTGACCGGCTACGGACAAACATGCATGTTCTAGAGGCTGCTGGTGATGAAGTTGACGTCATCGACGCTGCTGATGTAACTGAGGCGGGTGACAATGACGTCATTGCTGCTGCTCGCAAGTGGGTGGGAATTGGAAAAGCACAACAAGAGCGCACGAAAGAGAGCAGGCGGAGGAGGGAGAAAGAAATACAATCAGCGAAGAGGTGAGACAACAGGTGGCAGTGGGTTGATGAGAAAAGTGGATCAGAGGCAGGTACGGATTGAGAAGGTCCAGTCCCTAGGTTTGCAAGCAATTTTCAGATGGGAGCTTGATGACATTTATTAGCTAGGGAAGCCGAAAACATCGGGCGGGATAAGTAGAAGGGAACACCTGTGCAAGGACCCATGGTGGCCGCAGGGGCTCTAATTGGCTATAGTCTAAAGCCGTGATCTACGGCTACTGCTGGGTTGGAAACACGCGCAAAAAATGAAGAAAAATCGAGACTGCTTGGGAACTCGATGCAGGCAGGATGAGATGAGCCTTGCTTTGTCCCCGATATGTATAACTCGTTTTGAGCAGGACACGTTTTGTAAGATATTGTGCTAGCCTGAAATCTGCAAATAATAAACAGGTCCTGCTCCATGTGCGATGGAAAAAGCGGGTGTCCAGATTCCTGAATTCTATTTTGGGCCACGTGTCTCTCAACCATTCCATTTCCTGACCTGCAGGTCCCACAATGCTTCTGAACCACGGTCTGCTTCTCGACAAACAACATCCTTGTTTCTGTACACTTTAAAACGCCTTAACACCAATATACTTTGTAATTTGAGTGAAAACAGTTAGAGATTCAGACGAGTGAGAAACATCTGCTCTTTTGAAACCTCTTACTCGACCACCAAAAACTCCAATTTTACGCTGGGTGACTACCCAAAAACCTGCTTGCAAGGGCGAAGCTCCCAAGGGACACCATGGCGACTCGATCCATCATCAACCCATCATCGTCAACCCTCGGTCAGCACTCGCTCCCCTTTCCCATGCAGCTGTGCTCCACTCCGCTTCCACCTCGCCTCCCCCCCAAAACTTCCATAAGAAGCGAATTCATTACCCGTGTTACAACGCAGTTCTTCCCTATTCTCCTCTGCCTTTCTTCCAGCTGTTTGCCTTCGGAGGATCGGAGCGTGTAACGGGCGACGCACGCAAGCGTGCCGTGTTGATTTGGGCCTACAATTCCCTCTTTCTGAGCGTAGAATTCGTCTCGTCAGTGCGCAGCGCGCTTTGCAGAGCGTCAGACGTCGCATAGATAGCCGGCATGGGAGCCCTTTTCACTGGGGCCTCCTCCCTAACCAAGCTCTCCGCCGTCGCACGTGTGTCGCCTGCGCTTTCGCCCAAGCAGTCGCTTGTTTCGCTTAGCGATCGCCTGATTCACTCCGGATTAATCTCCACGCGCGTTACCAAGAACCGTCTTTTCCGATCCAACCGATTTTCCCATCACGCCGCAATGGTCGCCGGGATCGGCGGCGGAATTGGCGGCCACTCGGCCGATCAGCAACAACCTGCGAGGCCAGTTACTGTCGCAGCGGCGGCGGCGGCAGGGGATGGCGGCGCCGCAGCGTCGTCGCAAGTGACGGAGCCTCCTACCGGCGCGAAAACGGGGGTAGAAGCCGCGGCAGGAGCGGTGACGGGGGGAGGGAAGGCGGGATTGCGGCGACTGGAGGAGCTGGAATGGGAGAGCACGTTCGTCGATAAGCTGCCTGGGGATCCTGTTGAAGAAAATCACGTCCGAATTGTATGTGTTCTAGTGCAGGGTATATCTTTTTGCGCTGATGGTAGTAGTCACTTCTTTTTTGCTTCTTCATCTTCTTTCCTTCTTGGCAGCTTGTTCTGTGATTAGGTGAAGCTAGGGACTGAAATTTGGCCAATTTTTACCTTAAAAGGCTCTTCATTGCGGTCTTCCACTGCACGTTGGCGTTGCTCTGTCCCCTCTCTGCGCAATACAGGTCCGCAACGCGTGTTACTCCCGCGTGCGACCGTCGCTTAAGCTCAAGGACCCGCAGGTCGTCTCGGCGTCGGAGTCTGTGGCTCACCTCATTGGCCTTGATCCGAACGAGTGAGTTCATTCGTAAAATTTTCTGCATTCCGCTAGCCATGGAAATTCAGTCGTGAAAGTATTATAGTTGTGCAGTTGTCTAGTCCTAAAATGGCTTGAATTTGGTCACTTTTTATATTCATCCCTCCATTCTGCTTTCCGCCGTCGCAGGTTTACTCGTCCTGAGTTTGCAGCGGTCTTCACAGGCGGCATTGTGCTGCAGGGCTGGTGAGTGCTGGGAGAGAAAAGGAACCTACTTTTCCATCCTTGCGCTGAGTTTGTCAAGTGCGTCAGGCTGGAGCGTGCTGTAACCGGTGCTCTAGGGCTGAGGCCACCCCCCAAATTTAGGATTAGTCTAGGGCTGAGGAGTGTGGTGGAGTAGAAATGCTTTTGAGTCGGCTTAAATTTAGAATTAATCTAGGGCTAAGGAGTGTGGAGTAGAAGAAATGCGCCTCATCCCTCACACTCCCTCCCTCTCTCCTCACATTCTTCAGCAAGCCCTACGCGCAGTGCTACGGGGGCCACCAGTTTGGGTCGTGGGCGGGGCAGCTGGGGGATGGGCGCGTCATCACTCTCCCCCTTCCCCCCCCCCCCCCCTCCCCCCTCCTTTTCTACCGTTCCTTTCTTTTTCCGGGAAGCCTACGCGCAGTGTTACGGGGGGCACCAGTTCACCCACCCACCCCCGTCCCTCCTCTCCGCCGTTCCCCCACCCTTCTCACCCCCTGTTCCTCTTCCCCTCCAGCAAGCCCTACGCGCAGTGCTACGGGGGGCACCAGTTCGGGTCGTGGGCGGGGCAGCTGGGGGATGGGCGCGCCATCACTCTGGGGGAGGTGGTGCTGGGGGAGGGGGAAGGCGCGCAGGGGGAGGGGGGGAAGGCGGAAGGCGCGCAGGGGGAGGCTTCACAGGGGAAGGGGTGGAGGGAGAGGTGGGAGTTGCAGCTGAAGGGGGTGGGGAAGACGCCGTATAGTAGACACGCGGATGGGCGGGCTGTGCTGCGCAGTTCCATTAGAGAGTACCTCTGTAGCGAGGCCATGGCTGCCCTGGGTGTGCCTACAACGAGGGCGCTCTCTGTTGTCACGACTGGGGAGAAGGTGCTGCGAGACATGTTCTACAAGTGAGTGTGACTGTTGGTGTTGTTGATTCGCTAGTCATTTTCGTTCTACAAGTGAGTGTGACTGTGTATGTTGTTTTCAAGGTCAGTTTTATTGATATTCTACAAGTGACTGTGATCGTTTGTGTTGACTCAGTACCCACCCATTCCCATTCCCCATCGCCCCTTCCCCCATCCCCCTCATCTCCCCATCCCCCAACCCCGTCATCTCTCCATTCCCGCACCCCCAGTGGCAACGCCAAGTTTGAGCCAGGAGCAGCTGTGTGCCGCGTGGCACCCTCCTTCATCAGGTCAGTCCTCCCTACTTCAGTATCCTTCACTAAAAGTATAAACTTTACGCAAGTAGATTTTCCTCAGGGTTCTGTTTGTGCATTAGGTGGCTTTTTGTTAGCTTGAGACGCACTTATACCAGACCGTAAACTTAGACGGTTTTGGTAGACCCCCAGGTCAATCATTGGATAATAGCGGTTTGTTTGAAATCCTCATACTTAGAAGCATTTTCCCCTTCCACCACTTTGTTCTCTTTCTGTTCCCAACAGGTTTGGCTCGTTCCAGATCCATGCCTCCCGGGGAGGCTTGGACAAGGAGATGGTTCGGGTGCTGGCGGACTACACCATTCTGCACCACTTCCCGCACCTGGCCGATCTCCCCGAGCCTCCGGTGCAGGTTCGGGAGCCAGGTTCGGAGGAGGAGGAGGAGGCTGGGGATCCCGATGCTGTGGATGTCACGACAAACAAGTATGCAGGTCTGTGGTCGGCGCTTCCTATCGTCTGTGAGCAACATGAGTGTGCTCGGCCTCACAATGGACTATGGACCCTTACGGATTTCTTTCAGATTCCTCGAGTCCTTTGACCCGGATTTCACCCCCAACACCCCCTTCCCCCTTCCCCCGCCTCTCCCCCTGCACCCCCTTTCCTGCCTGCCTCTTACCAGCATGGTTTGCAGAGGTGGCTGAGAGAACAGGACACCTAGTGGCGCGGTGGCAAGCAGTGGGGTTCACACACGGTGTGCTCAACACGGATAACATGAGCATCCTCGGCCTCACCATCGACTACGGCCCATTCGGCTTCCTCGACTCCTTTGATCCGGACTTCACTCCCAACACGTCGGACATGCCTGGGAGGAGATATTGCTTCCGGCAGCAGCCGGACATCGGGCTGTGGAACGTGGTGCAGCTGGCCAACACGCTCGTGACAGGTGGCATTATTGGAGTGGCGGAGGCGCAGCACGGGGTGTCGAGGTGAGTGGGAGTGGAAAGGTTGGATTTGTGGTGGCGGGATGGGTGGCCGGTGTTGGTTGGTCGTGTGTTGACTCAGGAGCAGCTAGTTTGGACCAACCAAAAGGCCAGGAAAACATGGTGTAGGTGGGTGGCATGGTGCTCGTGCTATTTTCCATTTAGGTACACGGATTCGTTTCTCTCAGCCTACCAGCAGCGCATGGCGTCCAAGCTGGGTCTGCCTTGACAGTGCTCTCCTCACTCTCCACTCTTACACCTCTTCCGCCCTCTTCCTCCTACCCTCATCTCCCGTCACAGGTACGCGCGCGCAGTCGTTCCTCTCAGCCTACCAGCAACGCATGGCGGCCAAGCTGGGTCTGCCCTCATACCACAAGGACCTCACCCAACAGTGTTCTCTCCCTTCCCTTGTTCCCCATCTGCCCCCCTACCCCCTTCCCCTCTACCCCCTCCCATCACAGGTACGCAGAGGGCTTCCTCTCAGCCCTACCAGCAGCGTATGGCAGCCAAGCTGCATCTGCCTCTGCCCTCATAAGACAAGGACCTCACTCACTGCTGGTTTCCCTCCTCCCCCTGCCCCCTTCCCTCCTACTCCCACCATCGCAGGTACGCCGAGTCGTTCCTCTCAGCCTACCAGCAACGCATGGCAGCAAAGCTGGGTTTGCCCTCATACGACAAGGACCTCACTCAATCTCTTTTGCAGCTCATGGCGAAGCACAGCAGTGATTTCACCAACACCTTCCGTGCTCTCGCCCGCGTGCCCGCTGAACAAGGTGAGTTTTGAGTCAACTGGTAAGTCAATACGACAAGGACTTGAATCAATCACTGCTGCAGCTCATGGCAAAGCACGGCACTGATTTCACCAACACCTTCCGTGCCCTTGCACGCGTGCCCACTGAAAGAGGTAGGAACTTCTGTCCTGTCGAGCTTCCATGACCTCCCCCGTTTCCCTTCCCCCTTCCCCCTGCCCTTCCCCCTGCGCTTCCCATTGCCCTGGGTTTTCTCAGGAAAACCTGGTGCTGAACTGCTGATGTTGCGTCGTCCCTGACCGTCCCTGTGCCCGCTTGCCCTTGCCCTCTCCTTGCCCTCTCCTTGCCCTCACCTTGCCCTCTGCAGAAACGTCTGATGCTGACCTGCTAGCTCCAATGAGGGGAGCGCTGGGCCTGCAGGAAGGGGCAGGGAAAGATGGAGAGAAGGAGAAGGAGTGGGTGGACTGGCTTCGTCTCTATACTGCCAAGGTGGGTGACTTTTGAGACGTCTCAAAAGTGGGCCTGCAGGAGGGGGCAGCGAAAGTTGGAGAGAGAAGGAGAGGGAGTGGGTTGACTGGCTTCGTCTCTATACTGCCAAGGTGGGAGGATGGCCTCACATCTTGTATTGCCCTGCACAACTTCTTGCACTCGTCACTCTCCCACGCACACCCCATTCATATCTAGGCTGTCGCTCACTATTTTTATGGTAAACTTTTATTTTTCATCCCCTTCCCTGTCACTCCTGCCTTCAGCTACGGGCCGAAAAGGTTTCAGATGCTGCCCGCCGGGCAGCTATGGATGCAGTCAACCCAGCCTACATCCTCCGCAACTACCAATGCCAGCTGGCGATCGAGGCAGCAGAGCGGGGAGATTTCAGCGTTACACGGCGGTTACAGGAAGTGTTGCAAAATCCCTACAAAGACCAACCAGGGGCAGAGGAATTTGCCCAGCCACCTCCCGAGTGGGCACTAAAGCCCGGGGTATGCATGCTCTCGTGTTCTTCTTGAGAATTTTCCAGCTCTTACATTGTATGAAGGGTGTTGACTTACCACGGGGCCAATAAAACCATTTTCTAGCTTACTCGACCTTTTGTAAAAACTACAGGTCCAAAGTTTGATGCATGATGGGCACCGTAAAACACCAGAGAAATAGTAACCGGCGAAGTGTAGTTATCCGGCAAGTGATAAATAATTTGTCGCGGACCGCGCAATTTCATCACCATTTTTCCAACGAATCTCAAAAATGCGATGCGTTGTTCCAGTAAATCCCCCAATTTCCGTGCAGATTTCAAAATTTGCCAGCCAAGGCGCGAGCCGACCGAAATTCAAACCGACATTGCGCCCCTTTTCCAATTTCCAAAACGGAATGCGCAGGCACAGATTCGGCAGAGACACTCCCATTCCAATCCATCTCCAGTCTTGTGGTGAGTAGCTTTTGCTCAGTCATGGCCCTCGGTTGCAATTCCCGATCAGCATCCTCTCTCCTCCCCCACCACTAGACTAGAGGTTTTTTCCGTTCTCCACCCGTTGTGTATCCGTTGTCATTCAATTAGGGTCGCTGTTCCGTCGAGCTCTCTCCGCACCAGCTTTGGCGGCGCACCGTTTCGCCAGCTGCTCGCATTTCCTCAACAGAATTTCGTGTGAGGTATCCAAAGGGGACTGAATTCTCCTCTTGTTCAAAATCTCCGTCCAAACCACCGACGGATCGTCGTTTACCACGCCCAAACTCCCACCCACTTACCTGGCGTCTCTAGTCCTTCACCCCCCTGCGTAACGAGTTTTAGGGAGAGACATTGTTATAAGTACTGCCGTACCCAGCTCTTAAGTGGGACTTCCTAGTGATACACCCGCCATCGAGCAAAAGCTTCCCATCCGCGCCAGCCGAGACTGCAGCAACCCCTGTTTCTTACGCCTAATATCCGTTCGGTCACGTTATAACACGCTGCGCTTGAGAATACAGACCATGGCGTCGCTACTCAGAGTTGATGTCTTAATCTCCTCACTCTCTCGCGTACGTGCCTTCCAATCGTCCACTTCCTCCTCAAAATCCTTCTCTTGCACGGGAAACCACGCCGAGACGACACCTTCCTCCTCTTCCTCCTCCTCCTCCGCCTCCGCATCCTCCTCCTGCCCTTCGGCGAAGCGCGTTAAGCCAGTCCGCTCTAATCGCATTCCTCTTCACGTCCTAGTCCTCGTGATTTGCATCGCCTTTCTCCCCGCAATTACCGCCTCCGAATCTGGCGCCGTTCCCGTTGCTTCTCTGGTCCGCGGTCCGCATCGCGACGTGTCCAGGCGCCGCGAGGAAAGCGACCGGCAGCTTCTGCGAAGCTTCGAGGAGCTGGCGGCGGGGACGATGGCGGCGAGCGGGCGGAACGCGGAGGACATGCTTCGCGACGCGATCAACACGGCAAACTCGCAGCGCAAGACAATCACCGTCCACCTCACGTCCGACGTGTTACTAACCAAGTACGCCGCCGCTTGCCTGAATTCCACCGAATCACTTTTTGAGTCGACTCAATTATCAACTCGCAGCACACGACCATCACCGTCCACCTCACGTCCGACGTCTTTCTAACCAAGTACGCCGCCGCTTGCGTGGATCCTACTGAAACACCAGGCACCCACGTACTTCGTCTCACCCGTATCCTTACTTTTCTTTCCATCCTCTACCAATTCGTCCCTCCCCCTCTGCGTAGACCGCTGCCTTTGCTCGGGTTCAACGCGGGAGTGGCGATCAAGGGCGGGTGCCCCGGCTCCGCCGAGTGCATGATCGACGGGCGGCACAAGTACTCCTTCTCACCTACACCCTGTCTCTTCTCCATCCTCTCCTCTCCCCGTCCATTTCCCTCTCCGCGCAGGCCGCTCCCGTCGCTCGGATTCAACGCGGGAGTGGCGATCAAGGGCGGCTGTCCCGGCGCCGCCAAATGCGTGATCGACGGGCGGCACAAGTTCGCCGTGTTTTCCGGCGGGTTCAACTGCTTCATCTCGTTGGAGCAGGTCACCGTGCGCAACGCCGTCAACGGCGTGCACACTGGCGGCTGCGCCGTCACGGCGCGCCGAGTCACGTTCATCAACAACGTCGCGCGGACTACTGGCGGTGGCGCCGTGGTCAAGTGAGTGAAGGAATGTGGGAATAGGGAACTAGCACAGAGCCCTAGGAGCTGGAGGTTGGGGATGCCTCTAGAGGAGCCGTTGACCGTTTGCAAGTTCGTCAACAACACCGCCGAGAGCGGCAACCGCTTTGCACCCAGCAAGTCTCAACTCTGACCCCTCTTCCCCCACCCTTCTGCGCCTGCCCTGCTTCTGCCCTTGCGCCCGCCCCGCGCCCCTTGCTCCTCCAGCTCCCGCGCCGCCTCCCCCACATCCGGAGCGCTGTTGTTTACCTTCTGCGAATTCGTCAATAACACCGCGGAGAGCGGCAACGGCGGCGCGATCAACGTGGGGCAGGAGCCCGTGGGCGGCCCGCGCGTGCAGCTCGCGGGGTGCACGTTCCGCGGGAACCGCGCGGTGAATGGCAAGGGCGGTGCGATCTATAGCGAGGATAACGTGTTGTACATGAATTCCGTCAAATTCGAGAAGAACTATGCACGTGAGTGTTGCTGTTGGCATGGCCCGTGTTCAGATAGGCGACAGGGATAGGGACGAGTTGATAAGGGGATAATGCGACCTTCACAAGTTCCTGCCGCCTTTCCTGTTTCCTTTCCTGCCTCTTTTCCTTGCCCCCTTTCCTGCCGCCTGTCCCACTTTCCCCTTTCCCCTCCCTCTCCCCTTTGCTCCGTTCCCCCTTCCCCCTTTCTCCCCTTTTTTCCCCTTTCCCCCCTTTCCCCCGCCAACAGTGGTGGGCGGAGGCGCCATAGCACCAACGCCCAAGAGCCTCCCTATAGTCAAATCCTCCCTTTCCCCCCTCTGCTGTCACCTTTATTTCTGTCACATGCAGTGGTGGGTGGAGGCGCCATTGCAACAACAGCCAAGAGCCTCACTATAGTCAAATCCACTTTCTTTAAGAACGTCGCCGTTCAGCCGCCAACTGGACGAAACAATGGCGCGGACAGCGGAGGAGGAGCTATCCTTGTCTCTTCTCGAGACTCTTCACTCTCCCTCTGTTCCACTTCTTTCGCTGGTAACCGCAACAACATGCGTGCGCAAGCCAACGACATTGCGGTTCGGCAGCTCGCAGCAGGCTCGGGAACAGGCTCGGTGAGCTTCTGCAGCATGCCCGCGCCTGCAAACGTGGACCGGGCGCCGGGGCTGAAGATCCGAGCCAGCTGCAAGGGCTGCACGGGGTGCGATAATGACTGTAACGGGCACGGGACTTGTGTCTATAACGCGGATTTTACCCCCAGCTGCCAGTGTGTGCGGCGGTGGGACAACGAAACGGCATGTGCGACGTGCGTTACGGGTTACACGCGACTGAGTAGCTGCAGGGCGTGTTCGCCGGGGTTCTTCGCAACAGGAAGGAAAAACCAGTGTGCTCCGTGTGCGGCCCTTGACAAGGTAAGACCTACCTCTAGTCCTATAACGCAATGACAAGGTAATAGCTTTATCTGAGCGGGTGCAGGGCGCGATCGCCAGGGTTCTTCGCCACTGGAAGGAAGAACCAGTGTGCTCTGTGCACGGCCCTTGACAAGGTAACTTCTACCTCTAGTGCTGTATCGCTGGGTAACTTCTGACTTTATCTTTGCACGCCGGCACCCTGCGAATGCAACCCATGCCACACACTTATTATCCAACCCCTCTTATTGGTGTTACCCTCAGGTGCCTTGACTGTGTGACAACCTGCAGCACGTAACAGGGATGGTGCGCCTGCCATCATACAAGCAGTGCCAGCAGCGTCATTCGACCCTCTGTCTATTCCCCCCGGTTCCTACCCTTCTATTCTTCCCCTTCCCCTTTTTCCCCCAGGTGCCTGGTCTGCGAGACAACCTGCAGCACATAACAGGGATGGTGCGCCTGCCGTCCTACAAGCAGTGCCAGCAGCAGTGCCTCGCCACACAAGTGCAGCAGGCTGAATACTGCAACCTCTGGGCCTACATTGCCAATAGCGCCGCCAACGGGGACTGCGGCGGAAAGTGTATTATGTTCCATGACCCTGACGATTGCGGGGTAGGGAAGATCGTTGCGAATAATCAGCTGGGGGTGTGGTACCAGTATGCGGAACCTAGTTTCAATGCTTGCAGCTAATATGGAAGAGGTGGGGAGCGGTGGCATGCGGTTCAAGGCAGTGACAGGACGGTTCCAGTGTCCTGAGCCCAGCTGCCGCTGCTTCTGTTGCTGCTGCTGCTGCTGCTGCTGTTGCTGTTGCTGCAACTGCTGCTGCTGCTGTTCCTCCTCCACAGCCTTCCCTCCCACCTTCACATCCTTATCTGCGAGAAATCATCCTCCGATCATGCTTAAATGATCATCGCATCTTCATGCAGCATGTCAAACAGACTCCCATCCCGTCCCATGGTATTAATCAGTTGTTATGTTCCTGCTCGAAGCAGTGTAGGCTTTCTGTTAGACGTTATGTATTGATTTGGATCCAACCTCAAGGGGAATTTAGTCATGCACTACCATGACACCCCCCCTTCCTCACCAGGCCCTCAGATATCAGGAAAAAAACCCTGAAATTCCTGATTTTCAGGGTAAAGTTTTGTACCTACACTGATTTTTCAGTGTTCAGATTTTGGGGGGACTGATTTTTCAGTCTTTTTTTCTCTAAGGGGACTGATTTTCCAGCCTTTTATCGAAGTGTACACTGAATGCACATTCCGAATCCCTGCTGTAAAACATCCGAGATGACTAAGAGAACTATTAATACTATTTAAATTTGTTAAGACATCGAGGTTCATCGCGTAATGTCTCAGCTGTTAGGGAGTTTGCTACGAAGGGTGAGATCTCCGGGTCGAGTCTCACGGCCAGTAAGGTTTCGTAGGATTTTAGGACGCGTCACAAGTAGAACATCGACCCTGCCTAGAATCGGTGTATAGGTGTTACACATTTTCGTTTATTTTCGCTAACGTACAGTTTTCCCTTCTAAGTCAGGCGATCGATGTGCCCCTGTCACACATCGATCGTGCAATTTCGTCCACATCGGGCAATTTTGCCCCATGTTTTTACGACCGTGTCACTTGAAACTTCAAAGCAGTCGTGACACACCGATATGGCGATCGGTTTGACAGGTTCGGTGAACAACCCTGATCCTTCCTCGATATTTTACTTGTGACGCGTCCTTATGAGGGTGAGAATCAGACTTAGGGTACATTCCGCTGTGGACATGCGTCCCAATCGATGTGTCCCAATCGGGTGTACCGCTCCGAACCGCACTAAACCAGAGAAGCGAAAATTTTGAAACTAGGGTGTAATTCGGTGTAATAAGATGCAGTGCGGTAGAATCGATTGGGACACATCGATTGGGACGCATGTCCACAGCGGAATGCGCCCTTAATTTTTTGGACACCCTGGAGATTCAGACTTTTTTTCAGATGGAACACTGATTTTCAGCCTTTTTCACATAGGGACCCTGATACCCTGACGTCCCTAAAAGTGAATCTGAGGCCCTGCCCCTCACTATGATTTGTAGAGCAGCAGTCCACTTTTACCCTAAACCTTGTGTCGGTACTTACTACTTCACTTACTACTTGCACGGACCCACAAACAAGTGGCCTTGTATGGCACCACTTACACCACTTACATAAACAAGAGCCCTTTACATAGCGCAAGAGTCAGCGGATGGGATACACCACTTTGCTAACAAAGAGCGCCTAAGCTTCCACTAGTTTATTACCGTATGCCACCATAATAATAAATATATATACGGTGTAATAGCTCCCAAGAGCAACCAGACACTGTTATGTGCTGGCAATTATACGAACCACCACAGATTTACATGTTGAGGCGTGCTCTAATCTCCCCTTCCAACACTCGCTGCTGCAGCTCTGACAGTCGCATCTGGTGGAGCAGGACAGGTGCACACACACACAGGGCGAGAGCGAGAAACAGCAGAAACGTTAGGAAGGATGCTCTGATCTACCGGTTCTACCGGATCTGATGTTGAATGGCTGTACGAGCCACCACCAATCTACCGGTTCAGCCGTGCTCTGATCTCTCCCTTCAACACCCGCTGCTGGAACTCCGACAGTCACATCTGGGTGGGCAATGGCAGGTGCGCACACACAGAGCGAGAGCAAGAAACACCAGAAACGCTATGGATGCACATGTTAGCATACCTGAACAGTTCACGCGCAGTGGGCACCTGCATTCCGTGCGACTAGCATACCTGCATGACTTGAAAGTAGTTGATGGTTCCTCCTATCATGGACCCCAGGTCTTGGTGCGGCTTTGAGGCGACTCAAATCACACCCGGTTCACAAGTTCACAAGCAGTGGGCACCTGCATTCGACAGCTAGCGCACCTGCATGACTTGAATGTAGTTAACGGCTCCTTCGATCATGGATCCCAGGTCTTGGTGCGGGCCGAGCAGGTCCAGAGGCACAGTCATTCTTAGCCGCTTCAGTGACTCACTGCTCTCGCATGAAACATGGAAACAAGGGAAGAAAGGGTGCAAAAAGCGTAGTTTTTGAGACGACCAAAAAGTAGAAACAAGGGAAGAAAGAGTGCAGAAAGTGTCGATAAGGAATCATGTACCAGCGCTATTTGCACGTGGGGAAACCAAAGGCAGAGTCAGGCACGACTACAATCGCGCAGCTTATTGGCTTTTACCTTATTCTTTCCCTCCTGCGTCGCTCTCGCATCGACCGCGGCTTGATGTTCGCCTGCTGCCCTTGCCTGTGCCGCCCACCACTGCCCGCCACCACCACCACCACCACCACCATCACCATCACCACCACTGCCAGCACCAACAGCAGCAGCAGCACCACCACCATCACTGCCTGCATTATCACTGCCACCACCACCATCACCTGCTTGCATGCCCCTGCTCTCACCAAACACAAACCCCCCTGGAACAAAAGCAGCAGCAGTGCCAGCACCAGCAGCACCGCCAGCAGCAGCAGCAGCAGCACCACCACCACCATCACTGCCTGCATTATCACTGCCAGCACCACCATCGACTGCTTGCACGCCCCCTCTCTCCCCGAACACAAACCCCCCTGCAACAAAAGCAGCAGCAGCAGCAGCAGCAGCACCAGCACCAGCAACACCGCCATCAGCAGAAGCAGACGCAGCAGCAGCATTAGTGCCAGCAGCACCTGGGCCATCAACCGCCATCCATGCCGCCGATCGTACATCATCCCTCCCCTCCTTCACAAACTCCCCTCCCTCCCTTCCATCTCCCTGCTTCATCGCGTCGTCTGCTCCCTCCTCCCCTTTCCTTCCCTGGTGTTCCCCACCCTCCCCCCTTTTGTCTCCCCCCTCTCCCTTTCCCCCTTCCCCCTCTCCTTCCTCCTCCTCCCCATCCTCCTCCGAGTTAGCAGCCATGAATGAGGCCATCATCTGCATTCTCTCCATGTCAGAACTGCCTCTGAAACACTCGCCTGTAGCACATGCTGTAGCGCCAGCTGTAGCACGGACCGCCTGTTGAGTCGGCTCAAACGAAACCATCAGCTGCATTCTACCCATATTATAACCGCCCCTGAAACACTCGGCTGTAGCACCGGCTGTAGCACGGGCCGCCTGTTGAGTTGACTCAAAAGACGCCATCGTTTGCATTCTCTCCACGCCATAGCTGCCCCTAAAGCACTCGGCTGTAGCACCGGCTGTAGCACCGGCTGTAGCACCGGCTGTAGCACCCGCTGCCGCACCTGCTGTGGCACTGGCTGTAGCAGCGGCTGTAGCACCGGCTGCGAACAACCCTGGAGAAAATCCCCCTGCGACCCCCCCAGCGACTCCCCCAGCGACTCCCCCAGTGACTCCGTGCGACTCTCCCATCATGACCGCTTGTAACCACTGCGAAATGTCGCCAAGATCCTCCCTTTCGCCGCTCAGCGAGTGAAAGCCCCGAGGAGCAGCAGCAGCAGCCGCCGCCGCCGCCGCAGCTGCAGGCGCCGGTCGTTCCGCCGCTTCATGCGCTGCGAGTGCCACCTGGGCGGCTCCCGCGGGCGCTGTTCGCGACGCCTGCCGCCGCCGCCGCCGCCGCCGCCACCGCCGGCGCTGCCATCGCTCCGCTGAAGGTATCGTCTCCGCCAAGCCTGGGAGGCTCGAATCGCAAAGCGCCGCCGCCCGCGCCGCCATAGAAATCTTGTTGGAACGAGGATCTCGAGAAAGCGGCTACTACGGCGTCGTCAAACGCCGCCATTGTCATCATCGTTTGAGACGCCTGCCTTTGAGACGCTTCAATAGCCATCATCGTTTGCCTTTGCGACGTCTCAAAAGCCATCATCGTCTGCATCATCATCATGCGGTGCGACTCGTCGTCCATCGCCGCCGCGGGGAGCTCTCTCTGATGATGCGACAAGCGGCGGCGGCGGCGGCGGCGGCGCTGCGGCCGTGTCTCCACGTGGCAGCGACGGGAACCGCGTGACGATGCGCTCCAAGCCGGATAAGGCGGCAACGTCGGGAGCAGGGTGGGCCGATGATACTAGCTCCGAACCCGGCGCGGTTCGCGCTCGAGAAAGCTGCAGCAGCGACGGGCGCGACTGATTTCCAGATTCAAGCTGTTCCGGCAGTTGCGCAAAATCTCTTGGTCTTCCCTCCATTTTCCCGGTATTTTTCGAGGCTGGTGACCGGTTATTGCTCGCGCCGCCTTGTCGACGAAGACATGCAGCAGCGGAACCACCGCCTCTCGAGGAGAGGAGCGGAGCAAAGGAGCAGAGAGCGTATGGAGAAGCGAGAGGAGCGAGAGGAGCAGCGAAGGACAGAAGCTGATGTCTTTGAAAAAAGTATTCGAGGAAGTAGTACCTCTCAAAACGTACTACTAGAACCGTGACCAAATGCCGATGCTCCCACGTCGCGCCGCGGCAAGTGTCAACGGAACGATCGTACGGCGGCAGCGCATGCGGCGGCGAGTCGAGCTGCTATTGGAGGGTAACCGGCCTTGAAATCCGGACTTGCTGCGCGAATGAAATCATTTCAAAGATGTCACGCCGCTGACAGTATTGCGGCGCGAGAGACTTGCTTGTAACCAGATGTATATGTCGTCACGACACTCGCTACAACGTGCGCACGACAAATGCCTCACGTGCGACCTTCGGTTCCCGCTTTGTCTCGTTCGCGACTACTAGCAGCAGAGCCCATAAGCTGTA